TTTTTATGGATCTTTTTGTTTGACCTTTGTAAGAGAGACTACATTCACAATTTAACTTGTAAACTCCTCCATCTTGTAGAGGGATATTACACTTGACGGATGGTAAAAATTGACTAATCTTCTTCGGCGGCTTGTAGTATGTTTTAATGGAAGCTCGCTTCAAGATGTAGCCAACCTTGTCTGTGATTCCTCTGACATATGGTAGTACAGCAGGTACACGCTCGACTGTGGCCGGCTTCACTCGGTCACTGTGACGTAGGCGCGGGACCCGAAGCTTGTTGTCTTGCAATACTTGCTTGACATGCTGAAGTTCGGCGGCCAGATGTTTTCTGTCACAGATCCCTCGTGCTCTCTGAAACAAAGATTTACCCACGGTAACTAACTGTGAAGGATGATGGTGAGATTCACCATTTAAATATCGGTTGGTATGGGTCTTTTTCCTATACACAGTGTGACCAATTGTGTTATTAGGATTTCGAATGACTAAAACATCTAAGAAAGCTAAAGAATTATTTGCCTCTAACTCCATTGTGAATTGTATTTTAGAGTTTATAGAGTTAAGGTGGTTTAAAAATGCAGTTACTTTGTCAGATGGTAAAATTGTGAAACTGTCGTTGCTGTAAAGCACCCGAAACGTCGGGAATTAAAAATAAGTAAAAGTAGTGAAATAAACGCGATAAAATCCGTAAATTTAGTTTTATTCAATGTGTAGTATTCGCGTAAATTTAAGAAATGATTAGAAGTATGTTGTTATTTTTTATAATGACAATAATTGCGGGGATGAGTTTATCTCCCATTTTATGGACTGTGAATATAACCTTCGAGCATGGACAAACCGGTGAAAATAACCGCTGTGCCCATGCTCGAAGGTTGGATAAGACTGAGTAAGGGGATAAACATTTTATCCTTTCCCCGTGGATAAAATCTCTCCTGCCCATGCTAGCCCTGCAGGGGAATCGCATTGACCACGGAAAATAAAATTAAAAATATACATTATTTTCTTTATCCATGCGTAAGAATAATATAGGTCCCATTCATGATTTTTATTCGTATACTTATATTAGAAGTTTACGAGATGCTTGGCATTAGATGTTTTTCACAACTTGCCATTTCTGGGTCAGGCGTCAGCTCGTCGCATTATTCTACCTGTTCGACCCCAATGGATGGCTCTTCCGTAAACATGGAGCAATAATTTTTATTTTCATCATTACAATATCGTCGCTTCTAGATAGTTATTAGTTATATTAATAGATATATAAAACGATATTATTGTCTTTACATTATCCTTTTTTTATAAAGTAGAGTGTTTTCGGAATCCGCTATCTATACCTACACTTATATAAAAATATAATTAAAATGTCTATCGACAATATCAGAATAAGATTTAATTGTGTACAGAGGCCTTTTTTAAGACATATGCGATAATCATGTGTCAAATTTTTGTACGTCTGTCAGTGTTTATCTTTAGAATGGCTGAACCTGTTGTGATGAAACTTCACGAACAGGCAGAGAACAATGCCAGAAGTGATCTTGGCTGTATATTATACGAAAAACGAGTGAAAATTGATAAAATGATTGTTTGTTAGGTACTTTAAAAAGTAACCCTACAATATTAGAACCCACCCAGGCAAAGCCATGGCAGTGTGCCTAGATTAAAATATAATAGTATCGGTATTTTGAGATAAGCTATTTTTCTCTAAATCAGTTTCAGCGAGATGTTAAGCCGAAATTAAAATATAACCTGTTAAGAAAAATCGTGCATGACTTTGAGTTACATCCAAGAACTAAACGTTTTTATACAAGTCAAAATAATAGGTTGCAGTAGCACTGCTAACTGCTGCCTTTCAATACTTTAACTTAATCCAAAAAAATCTAAGTAGCAACCAATTACGGCACAAAATAGTAACTAAATAGTTCCTAGCCGTTACAGTTACAGTCTAATGCAAGTCCACTGCTGAAAATACGCCCGCGTAGATTGTAACATAGCATACGGAAGATATTTGACATAGACTTTGTATGCGGTGTGGTTTGGCAAACGCAGTTTTTAATTTCGTTGTTACTAAGAAGATTTTTCGATTTCTAGATTTATACGTAGTAGAGCCCTGCTGCAGTTATATAAGTAGTATAGTATAAGTAAAGTTGTAGCACGAATGGGTCTGCTTGACAGGGGAAGCACCACGCTCTCACAGAATACCAGCGTAAAATAGTAGCTTTATGCTGCTTTGTTTCGTATGCTGAGAGTAGAGCTCCGGAGACCTTTTTTACTGGAAACGAGACATTTCACCTTAATCCTCACGGGTGACAACGCATCTGCATTTTGATTCGTAATCGAGGATAGATAAAGATGTCTATGGACAGGTGGACTGTGTGCTCGTTTGTCACCCTATCCTAAAAAAAAAAGATGTTGCCTGGTTGTACCCCGTCGCTTCTTACGTCATCCAAGGAACCAAATGGGATATTCTTACACTGTCACTACGCGGTCAATTAAAAATTTTAATACAAAAGCCACTTCAGAAACTCAAAAGAATAAAATGTAATCCACTTAATAACTTTGGAAGTCGGCTAAGCCATAGTGAATCGAAGATTTAGAATCCCAACCTCAAAAGATATTAATATGTGAAAATTATTTATTATATTTAGCTTTTGAAGTTAATTTTTACTTTTTGAATTTGGTTTTTACTTTTTGTTATAAGTTCAATTTTTACATATTAAATGCTCTAAGGAATATCATAAGTTGAAGGTAATATATATGATAAAGATGTAATGATGACGACGTAGAGCCACGCTGCATCTGTTCATAGCTGCAGCAAGAATGGGTTAGCTTGAACGTAGTGGGACCACGTTCTCACAGAATACCGGAATGAGACAGTAGCAAAATACTGCTATGTTGTATGGTGAGTGTAGAGAACCGGAAACGCTTTATACTGGTAACGAGGCATTCTATCAAAGTCCTCAGGAGTGACATCGCATCTGCATTTTGATTTTAATCGAAAATAGATAGGCCTATGGGCCACAGCATGCAGTTATCATCAAGTGAACTATGTGCTCGTTTGATTATTTTTATAAAAAAATGCTTATTCTTATTAGTATACTGAATTTATCAAAACTTAACCAATGTTAGTAAAAGGTATTGGGGGCGGTGAACTATCTATTTATAAAAAATATATTTCAATAATCAGAAGTAAGTTTACGTTTGTGAAGTGAAATAACAAGTAATATAGAAGCTGATGGCATGTTAATCGCAGATTAGCCGCGAGATCTAACGCGTTCAGTGCGACAATTTTCCAAGACGTTCCAACGTGTAATAACGTTCAATCCTTTAGGAATAACTTTTAAATCTAAGACTTTCTTTTCCATTTTTATATTTCCATTTCTGTTCATTTTTACTACCATAAGCCAGTACCTGACTACTATTCCACCTGATGGTAAGTGGTGAGCAGTCTAAGGTGGTAATACGCATTGAATTAGCTTAACAAAAGCCTATTCACCCTTGCCTAAAGACATATCAATTGTTATCACATTGAAAGACAGATGCTAGCAAATTGTGTCATAGAAACAGCTAGATGGTGATAAAATCATCCGTGCAGAATTAAGTAGAATTGTGTGATAATTTTAGTATTTTGATTGTAATATTTTTTTAATCCTGACGTTTCGGGCGCTTTACAACACCCATGGCCACGGGGGCGGCTGAGGTGTTTGAGGTCCTGATGTCATAGTTAACGAAGGCTACCTTTAACTTCTAAATATTAATTTCTTGGTTCAATCTACGCAGAATGAAATATGCTTGTGCTTGGCTTGCAATTAAAAATTACGAATTAAAAGCAATCAAATCAGGTAACGGCCTTGACTATCACTTTAAGTCAAAGTGACTGACAACACGAGACATAACGATATCTTAAAATTGAGAAGCGCATTAGTATTTGGACATAAATTAGTTTAATTTAATATGTGGTATTAGTGTAAATATAATAAGCCATTGTGTGGATCCATTACTTCATTTAAAGTTTGTATGTCTAAAGCTTTACAAACGAAAATTTGAAATTCGCTAGTGAATGCATCGTGGCGTGATCCCGCCGCGTCTGCTGTCGCGGTTAATCCGCTATTAGCGACGCTCAACGCTATTGTCTATTAAAACTTTTACACGTTTGGAGCTAAAAGCAACAGAATCACTGATTATGTTCCTAATTCCTCCAAGTTTTAGTCTCGTATGTAACTACGAGTGGTTGGAAAATTGACTCCCTTGTATACTGCTTTGTCTTAAAAAGGATACCGTCACCGTCACAGCTTGTCAAGAGTCCACCGCTGAACATAGGCCTTCCCCATAGGTTGGGGTGGTTGCTTACTGTATGTGTCACGCTTGGCAGGTAGGTTTGCAACCGCATTTTTTATTTTTTAAATTGTTATTAGGAAGATGCTGCTGCCCATCTCTGGATTTATTTTCCTCTGTTGCCTCTTCCATAAGGATAACAGATCAAAATTTTTATCCACCCTGTCATTTTTATTTATAGCTCTAATGACTATTATAAAAATTATATTTTTTAAACGAATGAACAGAAACCCATGCCCTTGTCATGAATAATTATGTATTGCATTATACAAATACTTTGTACTCTACAAAGTCGCTGTTATCAAGTATATAATTTAAATATGTCTACTTTCAAAAGCGTGCGTAGCAGTCGCGCAGCGCGGCGGCCCCGTGCGGCGGCCCCGTTCGGCGGCCCCATGCGGCGGCCCCATGTGGCGGCCCCCGTGCGGCGGCCCCCGTGCTTCGGCCCCGTGCGGCGGCCCCGTGCAGCGGCCTCGTGGGGCGGCCCCGTGAGGCGTGACATTCGCGTGTCGGCCGGGCGGGCCGCACCGGCGCCGGCAAGAGCTCGCTGCTGCGCAATGCGCCACCCGCCGCCAACCGCGTGCTTGTGGGCGGCGTGGACGTGGCCACTCTGCACCTGCACGTGCTCAGGTACCGCAGCTGCACCGGCACCGGCAAGAGCTCGCTGCTGCACATGTCGCCGCCTGCTGCCAGCCGCGTGCTTGTGGACGGCGTGGACGTGGCCTCGCTGCACCTGCACGCGCTCAAGTACCACAGCTGCACCGGCGCCGGCAAGAGCTCGCTGCTGCGCCTGGCGCCACCCGCCGCCAGCCGCGTGCTTGTGGGCGGCGTGGACGTGGCCACGCTGCACCTGCCCGCGCTCAGGTACCGCAGCTACACCGGCGCCGGCAAGAGCTCGCTGCTGCGCCTGGCGCCGCCCGCCACCAGCCACGTGCTTGTGGACGGCGTGGACGTGACCACGGTGCACCTGCACGCGCTCAGGTACCGCAGCTGCACCGGCGCCGGCAAGAGCTCGCTGCTACGCCTGGTGTCGCTCCCCATCATATTCTTTGACAAATAGACAGATTCCAGTGAGCAACAAGCTACTTGAATCCCTTGTAGTCAAATAATATGGGTTAAAATGGAAAATTGTAAAAGAAGTAATAAATTATCTAAATCACAAACCTAATATCCAATTAACCGTCTTTTATGGCATAATATGCAACTAACATAGTTGGCACTTCTTTTTTTATAACTCCCACATAAATATGGGATCTATACCAGATCAACAAGAGACAACATGCGTTTATAACGTATCACGTATATTTCACCTTACATTGGAGCAAACAGATATTTTCTAAATAATTAAAAATGTGTATTACAAACTATTTCATTTCTTCCAGATGTTTTTCACAATTTTAATAAAACGTGAACCGTGATAAATCAGTGTTCTACTATAATAGGTGTTCTACCTAATGACGGTACCAACAAAAAAGTTTGTAAGACTCCATTTTCCAATATGTTTCAAATTGCTTATAGAAAAGTAACAGCCATTTAATCAAAAATTTAATTAAATGACTTGACAGCGCTCAAAGTACAATGGAGTAAAACTCATACTTATAAACACAAATTTATGTAGCAAAATTACATATGTAATCATATTAGAAGTTTTCCATCTGAAAGTTCTCATTATTTTTGTACTCAAAATATCAACAAACAGTATTTAAATCCATTACTTTCTGGTAAAAAGACGTATTCAATGCATATTTAAAAATGTAGGAAAAAAATAAAACTACCAAATCAATCTCATCAAGAATTGCACTTATAGTAATATATTCAATACAAAATTTTAACATATTTAAACAGCCTAGAACAGTGTGTGTAACAAATGTGATTCAAATACACACACTGAAGAACATACTGATGACTATAAAAGAGCATTTGAGTTACAAAAACAAGAAATGGAGATGGGTGTTAGTGGACAAGATATAACATATATTTTGACATGCAACAGACTCTACCTGAAATCCCCATATCAAAGCATTTTATTTGAGGCAAGTATGGTTTTATAATGAAGGTATCCATATCATTAATAGAGATGGGCATAGGTCTTATTTTGGCACTGGAAAGAAGACTGGTGGAAAGGTCTCAGTCTCAGTGGTTTTACATAATTATTCTAAAAATCTCAATAATTAATAAATAGCCTTGTAAAATCATAATTTTTTAATAATAAAACTATTTCATATAAATAAAGGTAAATATTTTTTTTTTTACCACATAGAACCGTTATAAGTTCTTCTTAACAAAACTTAATATGGTTTATAGTAAACAAAGGTGATATGCTCACATTTTCATTGTTTTTTAATAAATTTGCATAGAATAACCTATTTTTAATATAATATATATAATAATTAATCTTATCTAAGTATTGGTACTAATACTGTATTGTAAAACTAAGATTTAATTACTGATTTCACTTTTGGAATTATTTGTTAGTTAACGTCTTTGTCGACTTATCACTGCAATTGCAAGTAGCCATAATTTTACAATAACATGTTGACCATGAATTGTGAATTTTGATATTGGATTACTGAAAACATGTTACAGAAGACGCTAACTCCACTGTATAATTGTTATTGCTGGTCAAACCAAGGTGTCATCCTCGTACTTTCACTCAACAAACTTATATTGGCCATCTTATAAAAGCCCTTGCTTTTACAAGTATTGATAAATAATTTATTATAATTCTCTTAGTTAAGGATGTCAGTATTGCACTGAAATAGTTTTAATACATTATTGTAATGTAATAATGTAATAGTAATAAATGCCATCGAGCCATATTTAGTTATTTTAAAAAGCTTCAGCACCGCTTCCAAAACTTAATTAGCAAGTAAATAGGTTAACAATAATTACTGAAGATAAACTTACAACTTGTACATTTAATGAATGGCCCTCGTGGTGACCACTCACATATGCCTCTTCATGAATTTTTGGAGCTAGAATTTTTATGTGTGTACAGTCTATAGCTCCTATCGCGTCAGGAAATGATTGTGGGGCATTCCTAAATTTTTCTTTAGCAGCTCGCCGCTCATCATGAGTCATAGGGAATTTTATATATCTTCTCAATAATTTTTCATCAAAAGCCTCGGTTACAGCATGTATTACTCAGCTAACAGATTTTTGGCTCATGCTGCAACCCCACTGCAGGCCAACAGGTAGCTGATAACACCCACTTGCAAAAAATCGAAGTGCCGTCAGTATCTATTTAGAAGAAAATGATACTAAGAGTTAATACAAACGAAAAAGAGTAAGTTTTTAGGGGTATATAGGCAATTACATGATGACACTCACTTGGGACTCCACAGAAAGTCCGTAAGGCCGTTGTTTTTGAAGAGATGACCGAAGTACACCTACGAGCTCGCTAAACATATTTTTTGTAATTCTGTAAAGGTACAGGAATTCACTATCCTCTAAATCTAAGGGATTTTCACTTTCGCGCCGGTTTCATGCGATTTGCCGCCGCATAACCATAACACGCCTGTGTTCTAGTTCTGACAAATCCCATGCTAAATACGATTCCGCCATAATTACTTAATACTTTTATTATAACTTTATATTATAATAGATAAAGATTATTTATAAAACTGTAAAACAACTTATGATCGTAACGAACACTTAGCGGGCTGTCAAAAATGGTAGCTAAAATAATAGCAAACATAACAAATAATTGTAAAGTTTACGATCGGTACCGATAGCTTTGACAGTACAGACTACCAAAAATCGTTATATTCGGATTGTTATGACTTAACAACCGACATTTTTTGTAAAGTGATCGTTTATTATGTCGAGACTGCAGCCGCAGGGATAATGTAGACGTCTATGGGCCATAGCATCCAATTGCCGTGAGGTACACTGTGTGCTTGTTTGTCATCCTTACTCTTTAAAAAGAACATTTACCATGATTTTTCCATATAAAACGCATTAACCAACTGAATACAAATTTCGACCAGACGTGGCACTAGTTATAATGCGATAAATTGATAGTGCTGCATTTAATGCTACGTCGACACTCGACACTCTATGGCAAAACATTATATTTTTGATACCAAATACAGAAACTGTGTACTTTAACAGAGAGATTTGGTATGTAATATCAATACGTGTTTTTGTTAATTATAGTTCACTTACGAAGTGGGCAGGACTGTTTTCAATATGTGTGTCCATTTTGGTTAGTAATCACCACCCCACTTATCACTATAACCTAGTGCTGCTGTGCTACCGAACAACGGTGTATCAGAGAAGTAATAATTACCTACAGGCTTAGCCAATGCATTTTAACTCTAAGGGGTGACAATACCTCTTTTTTATAGAATAAGGATGTTAAACGAGCACACAGTCCACCCGGTGGTATTTGTATGCACGTAGACATCTACATCTATCCTCGAGTAAGAATCAAAATGCAGATGCGTTTTTTTTCGACGAATAACAGGCATTTATGTAGGTGGAACAAGTATGTTTGTGATGCTCACAAGCAGGCCAGGCTTAACTATCAAGTGAGGTTGCTAAATAATCGGCCTAAATCTAGTAGAATCTATGAGCAGATGTAAACATCACGTAAAATATTCAAAAGTCGACTAAAATGGTGCCAACAAAATCAAGACCAATTTAAAATGGACATTTTGGCCAAACATAGATCTGCTAAAAGTTTTGATCGTTTCTCGAAGGCAAACAACAAAGCTTGATGTTAAGTCCGGTTTATCAACAAGTGCTGAGAGGGAGAATGAGCCTGCTCGTATTTATGAAATGTTTAGAGTTCATTTTAAAGTCAACTCACCACTGGGCGCCTCGGTTCCTACTTTTAACAAGCCTTTGTGTCAGGAAGAAAATAAATTAATGCATGTTACAGCAAAACAAATGCGAAATACACTAAAAATATGACTGGTGGCAAGTCTCCGGGGCATGATGGCTAGCCTTGAGCATCTTAAGCGTGCTGGTGGTGGTTGTGGCTATTTTTCACAATGTATTTCAGACATCTTATTTACCACAAGAAATGTTAAAAACAATTGTGGTGCCCATTGTGAAGAATAGAACGGGTGACGTCTCGGACAAGAAAAATTATCGTCCAATCTCATTGGCAATGACGATCGCTAAGGTGCTGGACGATGTGCTTAATTCTTACCTTGAAAAAATACCTAACCTACATGACACATAATTTTGGTTTCGGTCTAGACTATCTACTTAAAGTGCAATGGTAAGTTGTAAGGTTGTTTCCTAGACCTGTCAACGACGTTTGACTTAGTGTCTTATAACATAATATGGGCAAAGCTGGAGGAAAGGGGACTACCAGTTGAATTGTTAAATATATTTAAGTTCTGGTATGCCAACCAGAAAAATTGTGTAAAATGGGCCGACTCTGTCTCACAAGAATATGTGTTGGAGAGTGGGGTAAGACAGGGAGGCTTGACGTCCCCCACACTCTCTAACATATATATTGAAGATCTCCTATATAAATGATCTCATTGTCCGGTTGAGCAGTATGCGTGTCGGATGCCGTATAGACGGGATAAGCACAAACAATATAAATTACGCTGACAGAGCAGCACACTGTCAGTGTGTTGCTCTGTCCAACTTCGGGGGGTCTTAAAGAGATGCTGAGGGTTTGTGATAAATATACTGCTGAGCACGGGCTCATATACAATGTAAAAAAGACAGAATGCATGGTGTTTAATTCCGCTGGTAAATGTCCCGATAAAGTCAATAGCATTACTCTGAACATTCAACGTGTATCAAAATTTAAATACTTGGGACGTAATTACTGACGACCCTAAAGACGATGCCGATATGGAAAGGTCAGATAGGGCTCTCTCAGTGAGGTGAGGGGTAATATGTTGACTCGCAGATTTTATCGTTGTAGCAAAGACGTAAAGGTGACCCTTTTTAAAGCGTATTGCCAAAAAATAAACCAGCTATACCAAGAAGTAGCCGGACACAATACGAGTCCAATATAATAATGTGTTCAGAATGTTATTGGGATTGCCTCGTTTCTATAGTGCATCAGCGATGTTTGCACAATAACGAGTT